ACACCGTCTCTGCTCTCGAGCTGTAGATAAGAATGCGAGGTGGGATAAGTCGGACGCCATTTAGCCGAGGTCTTATCACCCCCCCAAAACCTCTGTGGGTGACGTCCCGTGTCTCTCTCTCTCTTCTATTCTATTCTTCTTCTCTCTTCCGCTCTGTTGTTTTGAATGTGGTGTTGTGTCAATATCTCGATCACGATTTCATTTCATTTTCATGCCATAGACGGCATCGCTATGGTCCCCCAGCGCTTCAAGTCTTCCATTTTGAATAAAACAATACTTCACTTCAAAAAAAATCATGACAACTCCATTGTTGTGTTTCATTGTTGCCGCCGTTCATTGGAGAGAAGCTGCATCACGTGTTACTTGATGGTCGTAAAGAGTGAATAGAAATCACGGCGTATTTAGATGAACTGAGCTTGTGTCTTTTTCTTTGTTGTCGTTCAACTCACAGTTCGACATTCGGTAGCATCACACACGACGTATTGTTGCTGTTGTCTTGTAAACAGGTTTTTGCCACATTTCTCAGCACTGTTCCTGGGGCTTCATAGCAATGGGTTGTTCTGAAATAAATGCCATTTTTCATACGGGGTGATTCTGCAGCATTAAACCTGTGTTTACAATATTCCTTATTGTAGCATCCCTTCAACTTGGAATAAACAGGCTTGGGAGTGTTTCCAGACGGGTGCACTTTAATTCAGACGAGTGTGCATAGCAACAGCAACGTGAAAACTAAAAAGGGAAATAACAAAGGCAATTTAGCCAAAATAATCCTTTGACAAATGCACTTTAGCATACATGGATAACAGCATAGCAGGCAACAGTCAATATATGAAATGAATTTACATGAAATACAATTACAATGAACCACATACCTCGCAAGGGTGAAATAAAGTGGTAATCCAGGGAAGTCCGCCGCCATTAGCTTAACTTAGACGTTAGAGAGCTAGCTAGCAACTTAATAAGTCTTTCTCAAACGTTTACTGCCAAAGCTAATCAAAACACTGAATGATATAGCACTTCAAAGAACACTTTAGTTAAGGTTACAGTGATACAGAGATATAAATCTCTGGCTTTAAACCTGTATTGTCTTGTAACGTGGCTTCTCGTGTCTTCTAGTGAACAAATGTGAGCGTGAGCATGAGCGCGAGCAGATAGCATGATGTCAAAATAAAAGTCACATAAAATCAAAGTAGGAAACAGGATCATCAAAATAAAAGAACACTGCTAGTGGTCATTTACACCGATGTTTCACTAATGAACAAAGAACACCATAGAGAACAAGTATGTAAACTAGCTTAATCTCCTCAATAGCGACCTTATGTTTCCCCCATTAGCGGAATAGAAAACACAAACAACACGAACAGGCGGAAGTAGGAATGGCGGCGTTCGGCTCTCGTGACGCCATCTTTGCTTCACTCCCGTGACCACAGCATATTCTAGTGGCTAGCTGCTAATTAGACACTGTTAATACTCTCATTCATCACTATCAGAGCAGCTGACCGCAGCGGCCATTACACCGGCGCTCGCGCGCGCGTGTGTGTGTGTGTGTGTGGGCACGTTTGTTCAAATGTGTGGGCAAAAGACGAGATGAGGTTAATGACCCTCGACGGTACACAGCTCATTTGTATCAGTATGGTTTACGCACCTTGTCTCCTGACCGTGCACACACACACACACACACACACACACACACAGTTGCACAGACGCCACCGGCTAGAATCTATTCTTAAAATGTTTGAAGTAACAGGACGGAATAAAACATGGCGTGAGGGAGCTTATGTAAAGTCTGTACCTGTGAAGCCGGCGACCAAAGTCGGCCCTTGATTACACTTCAAGGTTGTGCTGAAATACGCCCACCGCGTTTGATACGCCGGCGCGGGAGAGCGCGCAGCGTGACATATTGATGGGGGGGGCGGGGGTGGTTGAAAGAAGCAAGGTAGAAACGTAGATTGGGGGACAGTGCGAGTCCCTCTTCGAGATCACAAAGTGCAATAAGTGTTCACACTGTGCCGAAGCGGCAGGCGAGGTACGACCTGGAGAATATGTCACGTCTAAATCGGTGTCCAAACCGATTGGTTAGGAGGGCGGGTATCGTTTTCATTAGAGGGTGCAGAGGATTCATCAACTAAAAAACGCTCGCCGCTTGCAATCCTCAGCGAACTCATGTTGAGAGTTGAGAGTGAACGAGGGACGATCTCCTCCCACTTTAGAAACTATTTCCTAACTGTGTGGAGAAAGGTGTCAAGATGCTTAGGTGCTTATAGGGTACCAGATGCACAGAGGCAAGGTGTGAATTCCCAGGCCGCCTGAAAGTACAGACAGTGCTGATGTAGGATGAAAGCCCGGAAAAACATTTCATAAGGGACATTAAAATGATATCCTTGGAGCGCCTTTCGTGGGCCGAACCGTACTGTTATCATACAGCTACGCGTCTAAAAAACAACATCAACCTAATCGGTTTTAAATGTTCATCTCAAGGTCATGCTCCTGTATTAATCTGTTTTTACCAATGAGATTACGCTTTCATTTCTCCTCAGGATCTAGTTACTTGTTATGTGATTACGGAGATATTGAACTATTTTGAAGATGCTTCTTTTTTTAAATTGAGCTGTAATTGTTCCCATTGTTTGGAACAGGAAATGAGTTTTGATGAAAAAACATCCTATCTAAGAATAAACAGTTTTACGTCTACCATTCAGTAAGGATAATGAGAAAGTAAAATAACACATGCAATTAAAATACATAAACAAATAAATCTAACGTTCCAATAACTTAAAATTCTATTAGAAACAACTAGGTTTGTGTTTCTCATTGAGAAACATTCAAACAATGTTTTAATTAATCCTGTCCAAATGGATCTTGTCACGTAACAAAAGCACTTGAGAGTTCACCTTCCTGCCTTGTATCCCGTTTTTAGAAAAGCAAAATTGTTATTTTTGTGCTCAGCGCAGTTTTATCACCTTTTTTAGACAGGCAATTTAATCTTTAGCGAGTCCTCTGTGGCCGTGATAAAACTGTTGTGCAGCAACACGGATCCCGCTGCTGTTGGTCGTTGTCAAGGATCAAGGCCATGTTACTCCTCCCAACACAGAGCTCATTCAACTGATAATTATATTATTTTTCAAAATTACCTGGATTACATAGTTGTTAATTCTGACACCGGAGAGTCACTTTTTCACCTTATTTGCAGGTTTGCATGTAGTGGCCATGTGACTGTGTAACAAAAAATGAACAAGTCATCGTTTGAAAACACTCACACTCACACTCACACACAGCTGCAAACTGTTTGAATTAACAAACGCTAGAAAGTAAGTTATAAAAAAAAAAGCCTGGCCGTATAATAAGAAGAATAAAAGCATGCTCGGGTGCAAGGATCTGGAAACTAGTAATTACCATAATTGTGCAATTGTACTGACCTTAATTATAGCACAAAGAGAGGCAATTTGTTCCTCGGGAAACAATTGTTTCTCACACAATACAAAATGAAACTTTCAACATGATTTTGAGCGGTGGAGCCTGCTATTCAGTACTAAATCTTATGCAATACATCATTATTATTATATGTTGAACCAAACGGGGGGTTAACAGCCCTCGTTTGGTTCATTATTCTCCCTCTTGAACCTAAAGCTTGAGAATTAAGACATATTCAACAACAATGTTGTGTTGCGTGAGTGATGGACTCACCATTCTTCGTTTAACCCCAAAACATGCGATCGTGGTCGGATAAAAGCGCCACGCCAATCGCTCAATCAGGTTCATCTCGATAAGACGCTGCGCGTGTAACGAACATTCTGCCGCACACAAAGTAAACGTGCAAAACTGACACTAAAGGACGAAGCGAGCGAGCTGCTTTGACCGACTCATCGGGATGAGAATGCGTCGTCCTGACAGCTGGCGGAGCAGTTTCATGGGTCGTAGGTGTGAGTTGGTTATTATTCTGTAAAATATGGCGGTGTCGTTCACTCATCTCGGCCTCGCCTGGTGCCTCGTGCTGCAGCAGTTGAGGTGAAGGGTGTGGGTGGAGGACGGCAGTGTTCTAAAGCTCTATATGGTTGGAACAGAAGCTTGTGCACGCAGAGCCGTGCCAAGCGTTTAGGGTTCAAAATGTACATAAACCAAAGCAAAAGAAGATTTAACTATTCACGCTGTGATAATGCAGCTAAATAGTGAGAGATAATAATATAGTATTGGCTAATGAACATTATTTGTTTGATGCTAGCTCAAGTTTACAGGGAAGTAAGATAATCCTTGTGAATATCTGGGTACTTCTGAATTGAACACATCCCCTCTCACTCCCTAAATACATATATAGCGAAGTATTCCCACACAGAACAGAGAGAAAACTCCAGAAGCACGTGACATGTGGGTTGAGATTCATAAGATTGTGAATATGCTTAAAAGAGTCAACAAACCAACTCTACTAGATCAAAGATTTGACAAATGTTTGGAGCGCAATTTGGAATGGTCGGAAAATGAAACCAACACAAGACTCACAACCACGACGTCGGTCTTTGTTGCTTATTTTTCAGTTATGTTCAAGACACAAAGAGAGGTGCAGGACGTTATTTTGCCAAATTGTTTCGCTTGGCTCACGCACACATTTTAAAGATCACGATGTTTTTCCTAAACGCACGGAGGAGTTTCATCGCTCACACCAAATCAGGTTTCAAGGCTTCAGCAAAGAAGACCTTCCTGGGTGAGCAGAACAACAAATAAGAGAAAGAAGCTCCAGGGACCTTGAACGTGTTGCTGTGGTCCGAGCGGTGATTTGTGCAGCTTGATTGCCAGGTGACATCATTACTCCGGGTGACATGTGACCTTCCCGTCGCAACGGCATTCCTTACAGCACCCAGACGGAGTCTCTGGAGGCGCCTCGGGCTCTCTGCTCCCGATGGGACGAAACCATGTGTCATCTCTGTTCTTTATCATGTATAGCGTTGATAAAATGTGAGCAGGTCTGGATGGCGGGATGGGTTTTTTTTATTATTTTTTTTTAACAATTTGGGGTAATGTTTAACAGTCAATTATTACAGTGCACAGTAATCACATATGCATGAGTAACACTGATGACTCTTAAAATCCCTGATTTCCAAGCATCACGTTTTAATTATAAAAACGCAACACATTCATTTGTTGATTATCATTACTGATGTTAACACACTAACTATCATGCTGTCGAATGTTCAACTGAAGCTTAAAAACGTGTATTATCAGTTGAAAATTTGTTATACATACAAAGAAAGGAAAGTAGTGTAAAATATAGTAATATATAGTATGTTTCCCCCTAATGTAGTGGAGTAGAATATTAACCGATAATACTAGTAGAACATACATTTAGCTTATTTAGATGTTAACGTGTGTTTTTAAATGAAAGACCGCCGGCTATTCACATTGAGAAGTATTGGTAGCAGTCCCGCGGTGGCTGATCCGTTTTTAAATGTGTTCTTCACATTTACATTTCCCCAAAAGAATGTTCAACAAATTAAAATAGGTTCCATATTTCCCCTCTTGGCAAAGAAAAAGTAATAGCATTGCCTCATGTTCCTTCACTGAGGAAATGTAAAAAACGCGTTTGGACCTGCAGTTATTGTCAAACAGTAATCCCCGAGTTTGCCTCTACAGTCATTCCGTCGGCCCCTGAAGAGGTTACCATGGAGACAGTGGAGGGGAGGAAAAAGGGGTCCTCCTGACACGGAGCAGAACTTGGTAATTGGCAGATTATCAGAAGACCGAGGTTATTCCTCCAGAAGACTCTCAGCACACACTCGTTATTTCCACCACACACTCCCTCCAGCCGGAAGGCCAAAACAACAACAACAACAACACCAACAAAGGCCGGAACGACAACAATAAATACCGTTAAATACAGCGAGGAGAAAATAGTGGGTCATCAACCTCTTTCCCGTTCTCCCGTAATCGCTTTACTGGACGGTGGGGGGGGGGGGTGTTGTGTTTTGCTCGGGGGACAGATCCCTGCAGGCGGCGGGAACCGACACGATGGAGAAGACGCAGCTCTGGCAGGCGGGATTCTTCTACCAAGCTACAGGGAGGAGGTGAGTGTCACTGCAGGTCACAGATAAGAATGTGTTACACGTGTACGCAGACGTCCTGCCTCCTTAGTTGATAACTTGCTCTTTTATTCAAGAATGGAGATTTATACTGTATTACATTTAGAGGTCCCGTCCAACTGATTCTGATCAAGCAAATGGTCTCACCAAGATTGTATATCTGTGCGTCTATTACGCAAACAAAAAAAATGGTTGTTAAAAAAGTTAGTAGCAATTCTCTTGTTGCTTTTCTCAACAGCTTCATTTATTTGAATACAGTCTGTGCAGTACACTGTAACGTCCTTTTAGATAGATAGATTGATACCTTATTGATCCCTCAAGAGGGAAATTTGGTTATCACAGCAGCATGTACAGGGAAGAAAATAGAATTAAAAGATACACATTGTATACAATATAATAAGATAAAAAATATTAAATATTAAAATTATTAAATTAAATAAAATAAAACAAAACAAAAGAATAACCTTCAGTAAGAGACTATAAACTGAGATTATAAACTGAGACTGCAATAATAAAAATGTGTAACGGGAGAAGAGGAAGAGCAGCAACTTCACAGCAGTACAGGGTTGTTATTGTCGTTATTTGGCCAGAGATGATTTACCGCGTCCAAACATCTCGAATCCCTCTCCAGAATGATGCACGTGAAGGGCCACACCTGAAGAACCTCGGGGACAGAGGCAGGTGATCCTCAGTGCAAACTGAAACGACAAGGCGTGCACTCATGTCAACGAGCCGGTCAAATTTCATGTGGACACCAAACGCACGGCCATGCTTCAGCAACGGCGTGAAGTCCATGACCTCATCAAAGTGATGCAGAGTACCGCAGTTCATCTTCGTCGTCAGAGACGACGATTCAGTTTGCTGCTTTTAGTGTTTCCTAATTTTCTTTCTGCTTCTTAACCAGCTTAACCCCATTAAATAGCTATTTAAAGTAAATGTTTGTGATGGCAAGTTTAGATTTCCACCCTAATTCCATACCATATAACTGACGTAATGACCATTATATTTTGTCTACACTTCGTATGTCTCTTCAAGATGCACAACCTGATGGCAACGATGCAGAACTGGAGCCTCAATAATCCAGTAGATCACCGGCTCACAGACATCCGACAGCTGGAAGATCGGCAAGCATTCAGACATCCCGTGAAATTGAATCATTGTTGTGCCACAGGGCACGTTACCCAAGTGTGAACTTTGGTTTTGGAGATCAACGGTTTCGATCTTCTAATAGAGAATGCAACTGCCCCAACGCATACATGCTTGCAGCCATTGCAATTTTGCTGCTGTTTCATTTTATGCTATGGTTTTAATGAATGTTTTGCATGTGAATCTTTAGCATTATACTTTGAGAGATGAGTGGAACAACCAAGTCCTGTGGAAATAACTTACTTACTTAGTTGAGTCTGTTGAACATGTGGCTTTCGATGAACAAACCTTTGAGTGAGTTAAAGAGCTCGCCGCTTAAACCCGAGAAGAGATTCTTCGCTGCTTGCCACGTTAAGCAAACAATGGAGTTGCTGGCAGGCATGAAGACTTCAGGAGAAAAGTCATTTAAAAAGGTGTTTTAGAGTGTCTGCCATCCAGGCTGTTTAGAGGAGCAGGGAGGGAAAATGGACATCAGCTTGTGATTCAGCAGCAGCCAAACCTCACCAAACACGGCGGAGAGGGACGTAATCCAGATGCTATTACTGCTGAACTGGCACTTTTTTGCCAGGACGCAGGGGTTTCCCAAACCTTTCCTGGGGGAGGGGGGGACCAAATCAACAGGTGTTCCCACCAGTGAGGCAGCAGCGCATGTCAGGCAATGCAAAAGGATTGAAAGACGTTATAGGTGTGCACGTTTCTTTACCAATACAAGCTGAATGGGGGTCAACGACACGGCTGCAAAAGGGTTGCAAAAGGACAGTAACGTGCAAGAAATACTAATTAAGAAAATTCAGCGTTTCAAATTTGTGCAATATAATACATTTTGTCCCTGATTTATCCCGTGGGATAACAGCCGTATCACTTTAGCAAAATAAATAAACACCACAATTAAAAAAACGCCTCTGTGCTCCGACTCCGTTCTCAAGGGAACGTTCCTCATATTTTTAAATATTTGAAAAATCATGTCTGTTTTGATTCTGAATTGATGTTGTATAGCAGAGCTTTATTTATTTGAGGTATTTCACTACTTTTATTCATGCCTATTCTATTTAAAGACCCAGAGTCTGAACTTCCTAAATCCCTGGACATTATGCATTACATTACATTACAGGTCATTTATGCACACTGCTATTGTAGGGTCCTGTGTTAATACACCAAAAGCCTGTAAATAAAGACAGTGAAAACAAGCCGTGTGTCGTTTGTGGTTAGGACAAATATCCTGTGGTCATCTGACGATACGTTTTTCTGTGGGTGTCGAAGCCACACAGCTGTTAACAGGTGCTCACTGCAGCCACATCCGCTAACAACTTAACAATAAGTACTGTGCGTGTAATGGCCGGCCTCTCCACCGCGTGATTCTGTTAAATGGACTATGATGCATTTCTCCAAATGGGGTTTCATCCACGTGCACTCACTCACCTTCTGCAAACTATTAAGGACGAGCAGACACACACACACACACACACACACACACACACACACACACACACACACACAGTGTTCAACTTCATAATCACAAGTGTAGACAATCAACATTCAAAAAAGGGGATTATGTTTAGTGCAGAGAGTGGGAGGGGGTCACACGCTCATGCAGATGGCATCATTTTCGGTCCGTGGAGCAGTTGTTTTCAAATGGCTGACAGGAGAGGGGGGGGTATGCGGATGATACGCTGCGTGTTCAAAGGGAGGCGGCGGCGGCGGCGGCCGCCTTGTGCCCCCGGGCCCGCAGCACGTCTCACGACACGGCAATGAGAGTTTACCATCAATGCTGTTGTTAGTTTCCTATTTACGGCAGAAGTGTGTCGATGTTACTAACGCGCGCAGGGAAGAGGAGCACTGGCGGGTCCGCCGGGGGAGCGATGGCGGCGCGTGGCCATTCCAGAGTCTTCAAAGGCATTCGATGCCACTCGGCTCATCCAAGGGCACAAACGCATGTTTTGCCCTCGTGGAGAAGCGAGCACGCACAAACGGGCCATTTCTCGTCGCCAGGAGAGCAAAGTCCGGACGGCCATTCGGTCTCTTTCCCTCTCCGGCGGTGCAGACGGCGCAGCAAAGAGCAGGGGTCAGCTTTTATAGATCTGAGATAATTGAAAACCATAAATATGGCCTTTCAAAGCAGAGAAAATAAACTTCACCGGATTTGATGTTCAGCCAAGCAAGCAACACTGGCGCCGACCCAATGGAGGGGATTGTCAAAAAACACACCCACGTGCACACTCACGCACAAATGTACACAAACTCCCAGAATGGATAACGACCCCTCCAAGGGTCATGTCTGTCTTTAGGAAGACATACACCACATCCTTGTTAAACAAGGCAGCCGAAGAACAGGTAGTGTGTGTGTGTGTGTGTCCATGTTTGTAGTATATATATCCAACAAACTAGATATACCAGGTTAACTGAATAAATGAAGACATCAGCCTAGTGAAACAAACCCTCACCCGTCTAACCAGGAACCAACCAGTTGGCAGTAAAAAAGTGTCGTTTGTCAAGTCAAATCAAACTTGTGTCTTCCCAAATCATCAAGCTGAATGCAAAACGGAATAATACTTAATGCACTCACACAATCCATCATAGTTACACTAACTATGACAACACAGCATGAAGGAGGTTTTTTTTTTTACACGTCACCTTCATTAAGTACCATATTGATGAAGCACGCACAACGGCCACCACACAATTTGTTTTGTCCAAAGTAGGAAGGGATTACCGCTAAAACACTGAACAAAGGGTGGAGAAATGCTGTAAAATAAATGGGTAGAGCAGGATTAAAAGGATGATACCTTTGCGTGTATAATTAGGAATGAAACATGTCATCACCATTTAGCAGCATCTGTTCCTGTGAATGCTCAATAGTTAAGCAGTGAATTAGGCGCGCCACCAGGCAGCCTCCGTTTGTCCTAAATACATCAACGATAACCCGCAGGTAGACCCGGACGTCTGGATGAGCTGGAGGGACCCAGCTGGTCCGGGAACGCCGCCCTCGGTCCTTCATCTGGAGGAAGCAGCATGACAAACAGACATCGGGGATGTTCTGCTTACACACCTGAGACCATAAATAAACCACACGTGGATGGGCGGGGTGCGAAGAAGTGAAAGCTTAAAGAAAAGATCCTCGTCGAAATGGCTTTTTTTTTTAAAACCTAATTAGTTCAAATTTATTTGAGCTTCTGAAGGCTGATTTCCAGAAGAACTTCAGACGGTAAACAATCCTGTCAGCTTTTGAGTCTCCAATGGGACACATGAAACGTTCCCATGCAACGTGGTTTGGTACCAGGGGCTCCACCCGGTGTCTCTGAAGGTGAGCAAATCCATAACTTTAATTCTGTTGTTTGTGAAAAGTATATTCCAAGTAGAAGACAGAGGTGTGATGATAAGTGAGGGACTGATGACAGGCTTGAATAGAAGTACAGTAATTCCCATGCATCTTTTTCCCTTCAGATACACATATCTTCAAAGGCCGCTCTCTCAACAACAACAACATTTCCAAACTCTGAGCCAGAAATCTCAATTTATTAAGCAATAACATGCACCTCACTTTCCATTTAAAGTAAAATATCAACTTCTATCTCACTAAAGCAAACATTGTGAGCAATTGTCAGTTAAGTTGTGATTTCTATGAATCATCAATGACAGCCTCACTCCGTATTGTAAATTGCACATTGATTGAAGTCAGCATGACAATGCAGTATTTCCAACTACACGGGTTCTAATAGCAGGCAAATGGTCATCTCAGGAGAGATGTGGTGTGAAAGTTACAATGAAACTTGCTGACTTTTATTTTAGTCATCTAAGAAAGACAGAAGAAAGCAATTACACTGTAACACCTCTACCCGTTAAATAGGTTTCATATATTTAGTACTAAGATTTTGATCAAAACTTATCTTCGATTCGACTTTACAAATGGATTCATGATTAAAGGGAATTTAAGATTATCTTATATCTACTATCTACTTGTAATGAGGGAAAAAAAAATCAGGATGAAGAAAGTAGGAAAGAAAACTGCTCATGTTACAGTGCTGTTACAGAGCCAATCTTTCATCAATAAGCATCAACCTGTGACGGCAACCGTGACTCCTGACGGCCGTGCGTCATCATTTCTCGCTCTTCAGCTCCTCCTCATCTGCCTCGGCTGTCACTTTGCTCATACAGCTGTTATCAGAACAAATATCAAAGCTCAACTCAGCACCGAAGAGAGCACCGGTTCATATCGCTGCGGGTTCTCCAGGCATTATGGGCCTGGAGAACCCGCAGGGATATGAACCGGTGCTCTTTTCGTTCTTCATATATGTAATGTGATCAAAGGAGCTCCAATACAGAGTGGCTTAAGCTCTTTTTGTCCCTTTTTTTTGATGTCGCTACCGATCCCAAATTGTGGATAGAATGTATACAAGCTGTGGATGGTCTCTAGTCTAAAGGATTCGATTTTTAAAATATCAGCCGACACTTGCATCTTGCATTGCAAAGTTAGTCGGGATAACAGATGAAACTAACGCCGGCTATTTTCGCTTCTGAGAAAGTGTGCTGTCAATCATAGATGAGGTCATTTTTAACGGCACCGCAGTAAAGCCTTGGCGGACCGCTCCCCCTCCTACAGCCGGTTGTTAGTGCACCATTCAGCATCCCTCCGCTGCCCCTGTCAAAGCCATTCCCCACGGGAGTGCAGGAAAGTCATCTGCAGCGGGCCCGCCGGCAAAGGCAGGTTGGCCGCCTCATAAATTTACCGCACACACTCCCTTTGTTATGCATTGCTCCACCCAAGGGATGAGGGCCGTGCATGCGGTGTAGTGAGGGGCGCCCGGCGTCGCACATGACGAAACACGGCTGTTTGAAAAGTGGAAAGCGTCGCGCTGAGCCGTTGGAAGTCCAAGTCTGGTCATGACTATCAGAGCCTTCGTTGGGATTATGTTTCTCCAGTGTGCCTATGGGCGCCTCGTAAGCCTAATTTGAATAAAGTAGGTGTCAAAACCTGCTATTTGCATATTTAAATGGTCGTTTGAATGTCTCTCCGACGGTCTGTTCTTTCGCTTTTATTCGTCAAGCATCCTCCCCCTCGTTCGTAAAAGGGTATTAGAGTACAAATGAATAAGGAATAGATGAAATAGTTTCCCAGTACACACATGCAGAAGCATTTACCGATTCTTCAGAAGAATGGAATCCCAATTTGATGTTTTGTCGTGGATCAACATAATAATACTGTGATACTAATAATGTTCTCAGTAGGATGTCCATATTTTCTTTGAACTGTGACCTTCCTGATGCCTATAAAAGTCACTGCAAGAGAAAATGTGTGAGTTTTGCTCACATCATGATAATCTCAATGAAAGGATTCCCTGATATTTTCCAATTGCCAAAAAAATTACTTTACTTTTAAATGGCACACGTGTGTAATATATGCATGTCTGACTCACAGAAAACTCCCAACTATTTTTCTCTACATATTTTTGTCCAACATAGACCAAATGAAACCTGACCACGCTGCATGCAAACGAGTGGAAGGCGATTCACCCGGCGCAGCGAATGCGGCTCCATTTCACTTGCCGCTTCCCTTTGTAGTGAAAATGTTGTTGCCTGAAGCCACAGCCGTGTTTGGGAGGCATGAGACCAGTTAATCACCTATGATTGGTGAGGCAGTTAATGTGTGCGTAGGGAGCGCTTCATTTGATGCTCCAGACTCGGAATGCCAAATGCAAAAATGTCACTTTCCAACTTGATCAAGTTTAATTTATACTGAGAGGCAAAACCATAATTGCAATTAACGCAGGATTAATTGTGCGGCAGCGAAACCCCACAACACTGATTCCGCCAATGGCAGGTGCTGAAGAATCTGTCCTCCAACGGGCCGCAGGTGTGATGGAAAACTCTTCCAGGATTCTTTACAGAATCAATGATTATGAATCGTGACCCCTCTCGTGATTAAGCATGTGTGCGTTTCTGCGCTCAACCAGTGATGAACTTGTCTAAAACTAGTTAGACCTTCATAGAAGGGCGTTTGGTCTGAGCATTGGTTGGGACACTACCAATTTTTGCTCGAAGGCTGAAATACGCCGCAGATTTTGGTTTACTAAAAGCCCTCCTCCTCAGCCTCCACAAGCCGCGTTGAAGGACGGAGCTCATCCTGATGACTGAGGGTGTGATGGGGAGAGAACGCCTGCAGACAGTGGCAGGACACGCTTACAGAATTACCATGAAGCGGATGGTTTTCACAATTACATTTTAATAATCTGTGTGGGGAAAGTCTGTATCTACATGGCCTCTCCAGGGGGAAGAGAATGCAAGGTCAGTCTTTCGAGTCTTCAGCTGAAAAAATCACGACGTGTCCTTCAATGCTTTTCTGCAAAATTCTGTTGCGTGAACCTCCGTTCTGTTCTGATAAGTTCAGCACGTTGGAATTATATCCATAGAACTATAAGGTTGTTGACAACTTGACGACATTTTCGATCGTGGCTGCTGATCAGCCTGAAGAGCAGGTCGGCTACTGGTGTTGACCAGAAAAGGCCTGCCTCACAGTCAAGGACCAGTTGACTAGTTATTTCACAAGGGGGGCCACCATGAAGTTAAAAACTATTATAGTATATTGAAACTACAATGCCTTGACCAAACCAGCCAGAAGAAGCTTGAGGGAGCAGAATTCTTAGTATAAGGGCACATGCTTGTTGCCAGATAATCAGAACCTGCCTGACGGCTTCACCGTGTGAATGATGATTTCCTCCCTTCTGTCCATCAATCTTGATCACAGAGCTGCTGTAAAATTGGTTCATTTTTTCAGCAAATCCCAAAGGTAGAGAAGAATAGGAATATGAAGACAAAGCAAAATGGAAGAAGGAATCCAATCTGCTGCTGAATGAATGTCACCGTCCCCATATTGTATTTATACAACTCAAACACTGAATAATTGAGGTTAATGGTTTCATTAGTATGTTCGTCAGTAGCTCAGGTTCCTCCTACACTAAACATAAAATGAATGACAAAAAGTGCATTTGGTCTTTGCACACAATGACAGGGGGGATGGATCCGTGTGAAATAAAGCATTGAAAGAAGTTTGTGCATTGCGGCTCCCTGCGGCTGTACAGTCGCAGCTCCAGGAGAGCACACATCAGCTAACAATCCTCTTTGCAGCTGCAGGATCACCACCCGCCGGGAGTCGATCCTGCAGCTGTGGGTCTCAGCGGAATGATCAATGAGCGCTTTGAGGCGAGGTAGACGGGAGCCTGCTGCACTGGAGACCAATGGACTCTTTTTTAAAGATGTGAATTTAAAAGGTAACACGTAGTCTGACCTGCACGTTGTGACTGTCAAAAACCTTTAAGCTCACCGTTTTGGATCCAAACACCATTAATTTCTCTTTGTAGATATTAAAAGGTTTCTGTCTGAAATCTACAAATTTAAGGAGCTGTTTTAATCATAAAGTATTTATGACTGCATAGACAGCATCAGCATGTAGTAATATTATTTCAACAATAATACATAAAACAAGTATTGTGTTTTTTTTTTATCCTGAAAATGAAGAAGAAAATGACACGTTTGAGATTAAAAAATGAAAAAGACAGAAAAGGAACTTACAACATTGGATGAGAAACTCAAAAATGAGATGTATAGAATGATGATACCTGAGGCTGTTCAATTCCATGCCAGTAGGTGTTCTACTTTAATGTCTAGAAGCCTTCTGACATTTGGGAGGGATTCTTTATGCAACTTATTTTTCACGTAGTAGTAACTTTTCAGATCTTTGGGAGTACTTCTGCATGAATATTTGTATATATGTACATATATATATGCATATAAAACAAGTTGTGTGAAAGCCTTTTGTGGATCCAGAGGAGCTGTAAAAAGTCACACATACTCCCTGGCTAATGCACTGTACGCACACAGGGAAGACGAATGCATCGAATAACAAGAGCAGGTGGACCCCTACGGCTGGATCGTTTATGGTCATCGTGCTTAATTTCCTCCATAACCTCATTTGGGGGAAGAATATTGTAACAATCTTTCACCCGCAAGTTGAGAAGCATGTATTCCAAAAAGGGAGGGAGGTTTGTTTCCTTCTTAATCCATCCAACGGTGCGAACAGCATGACAGGTGGAAGACCCGTATCCATGGTGACTCCACTCCTGGAAGCGATAAATGATGCTTTGTCTGTAGTCGTTTGCGAGAGCTTTGGCGAGCACCTCTGACAGTTCATCTCGGGTGGATTGTCCCAGATTAATCTCAAAATTCAGTTTAAACAGTAATATTATTTGGAAAATAAGTAAATACAGAGAGAAAGTGCATACGAGCACTGAAGGACGTGTTGCTCCTTGGTTACTAAGGAACAAGAGAGGACATTTACATATCATGAAGAATCAGTGATTAGCCCAGTGGCCCACCATCATCTGCCCTCTGTGGGATAACATCTCTCATTCTGTTACTGAAGTACTTTCATTTCAAGGCTTTATTTTCCACCTCTGTGTGTATTATGCTTATATTCATACATATTCATACAGAGTTTCGACTGTCACAAAAGCAGGGCTGCCTCACCTCCGTCTTGTAAGACTTCACTCAAGTTACATCAGGCACACGACAGCAACTTTTCAAGCGTAAACCGCCCCCGGATTCCTCAAGGACGCCTTGTGAAGTCTTCATGCAAGTCTAATGAATTGTTACTCAAAAGACAATTATAGCAAGAGGTAGACCACGTTTTCCCTGATTGACACCAAAATATTTGTACTCTCCAAACACTGTTTGGAGAAAGGAGGAAACAGAGGCAAGGATGTAGAGGAGGAAATGGCGCATAAGGGAGGAGCCCGTAAAAACGGAGAAAAAAGGAGAAACCGCTGATGCCATCTGACAGTCTGTAACCTTCACTGAACATAAAACATACCAAAAGAACCATATTACGACATGAATAGCGACACAGGTAGACACATTATAGCAGAATGGGCCTCACTGCTGCGACTGGTACTTTGAACCAACGAACCAGCTGTGACTCCTCCCCTTTGATGGTTGGGGGCGTGTTTCTGTGACAAGATCTGGGCTAATAGGTTCAGTGATTCTGTTTGGTTTGAAATCCGTTCCGCTTGGGCCAGCTGAGTCCGTATTGACTGTTGTGCCAAGCAAGGAGAGATAAATGGAAGAGTGGAAAGTCAGTCGACTATCTCGCCGAGTCGATCGTGATGCGCTGAACCGAATGGTATTTAGCTCGGTGGAGGTGTTTTAAAAACGGCAGGGGATGATTAGCAGTCGGAGGAGCATCTTAAAGCAGTTGTTCAGTCGTTTGGTGGGAATGAATAGTGGGAGAGAGGAACAGGACGGATGAGCCTCTTTTTCATGCACAGAAAAATCACAGAGATTGGAAAGCAAAGCCGACAGAAGGCCGACAGATGCAGTAAACAGTCCCAGACAATGAAGAGGCTGCACTCAAAAAACACTCTCCATTTACTATGGCTGATTTTATGTGAATCCTTCATTAAAAACCAACACTGGCAAAAAAGAAGGTTGTTTTCCATCTCAAACTGCGACTAGTTTCAAGCATTCCGGTCTCGTTTTTGTGAAGGCATCGTTTCCGTTATGGAACAAGTGCTTCATGCGCACAAGATCAAGTGTCACTCATGATTAGGAAATACTTTAAATAAAATAAATAATTTACCAGTTGTAGAAGCTGCAGTGTGCTTCTCATAAAATGAGAAATGGCTCAAAGGATTTAATACTGTGACCTCAGCTTATAAAGGTCAACGACATACTATTTGTCTCTTCAATGTTTATCTGCCCAAAGTCTGGTGGGTTGGATGTGTCCAGCTCCTCATCACACTTCTGACGCTAAAAACAACCTCAATTCTGTCATCGGAGGAAACTGCTCTCAAGGACGAGTGAAAATGTACAGTTATTAAAACACATTAAAGAAGTATTGGGGCCTAACAGCGTGGATTGGTCATTTTTTCCCAAGTCTACTTAATAGTTGTGAGTAATAGCAACAGCTGTTGGTATTCATACTACTGTTGGTATACGAACACGTACTGTAGGTGATTAACTTCATAATTACAAATGTGGCTTATAGGGTATAATAAGGGAATTATCGGTCTATATATTCATCCTGTCATTGTTTGTGCCTTTGGCTTGCCAAAATAACATATATGAGAAATAACTGGTGAAACGTGTTGACAGTTTTTTTATTATATTTATGTCGTTTTTTTCCTTAAAAATCGAATCTGCAAAAGCCACCAACGATGTCAGCAAAACCTCCTCAAGGAGAGAAATGCCCTCAGTGTGGCTGTCAGAGTTAATCTCAGAACCCGACGGTGGGAGTCGTTTGCCTTAAACTGTCAAGGTGCTCAGAGTACGAGGGGCTGCAGCACTGAAAAGGGACGAGGCCAAAAACATTCCTCCTTTAAACATCAAGACAAACTCTCTGTTTTTTTCTCTCATGTTGCCAATTTTAAGATTTTACTTAAAAGGTTGTCTCTGTATATGTGTTCATTACAGTTAAAAACATACTGTAAAAGGAAACAATAGAAAGTAAAAGATCAAAATAAAAAACGTATTTAATTATTTCTAATATAACATTTCGACTCACATGTTGCGTTTTTTTGGTCTCACGCTAACGGCGTATTATGAACGTCTATTCACCAAATACAGCCGTGAATCACATGGATCTGGTACTCAGAGTAAGCCATTCCTTTATTTTAAGGGTAGGGATGACCACCAGGACATGACCCATGTAATTCCACGGTGAAAAGGAGGTCCTATACAACTCTTCTGTATATTGCAAAACTAAAATAATTGAACAAACCAGGAAAGCGTTCAAAGAACTCTTAGTGGTGTCATTGGCACACACGTTTCCATTAAACGTCCTCAAATCGTTTAGAGCCAAGTTCCATCTCAAATATAGTGTGAACTGTTACTCGGTCTAAAGTTGCAGTGTGTTTTGAAGTTTTACTTTTGTTTAAGTAGTTTTAACTTGAATACATTCCATGCATGCAATTATGAATTTTCTAATGCGGTGCAGGGTGTGTGCATTCTTGCAGTAAACAGTTATTAAATATTGCTTTTAGGCCATTATTACAAAGTTTATTAGCTCCAGACTGTCCCTTTGAGAGGCTGTATCCGAGTAATTACTCATACGTCGTTGGTTTTCAAGCTTTGCATAATTTTTGTACGAGCAAAAACAAGCAATAAGAGCAAAGCACAAATGCAAATAAATATAATAAGGAAAAATGTGTTTCCTGATGAGAAACGCTGAAGCTTTTAGTTGTTTATCATCACAAAATGTAACTGTTGTATTTAAAAATTGCACCCTTGACAGCATTCACTAAAACAGAACGTTGTATCTCACGTTAAAAGCATCACCAGCTCATTAAACACAGACGGATTTTAAGATTCCTCTTTCCTCTCTGCGCGCTCAGCATATTACGCTGCTAAGATCACAGGGAGAAATCCTCAAACTGTTTCCTGCTGTTCCCAAGCACGTGGAGTCCAGGTCTGTCGGCGAATCCATCTCACTGGAACCAGGCGCGTTGTTTCCATCGCCTGAGAAGCAGGTCATCGGGGCGAGTTCGGGGCCATTCGTGGCTCTCAGCTCGTGTGTTTGCAACAGTCCCACCCTCAGTATCACTGTCAGTACCTGTGGACGGGCCAAAGCACGTTTAACATTAAGTGACGTCCCTCTATGTGATGGTAGTCATGTGACCAGCTTGAGTCACGTCAACCTTTAGTTTTTTTGCTTGTATCGAGCACATGAAATACCAGACATTTGTATGTGTTGGATTAAATTGTAGTTCAAACAGTGATATTTGCTATTAAACAGCATCTGTTGCAAGCTGTGGAACTTTAGGACTTTAGATCCGAAAGGGAGACATTGCTTTCCAATTTAAATTTAAAAATACCAATGTGTGTTAACAAGCCCGAGGTGAGAATACATTTGCTGGTTGAGGGTTTCAGAGAGAAAATATTGAACAACCTCTGCGAAGCTTCTATTTCAACTCGTGCTTATTAAAAACTCCCTTATGTCCTACGGATTTACCGAATCCCCACACTGCTTTATGCAGAAAACCAGACCTTTTAGCCTGTGTGCTTTCTGTGGAAGAGTCAACAACACACTCTGAAGGCTCGGGGAGATTGCACACACACAAAGAAAACACACACACACACACACGCACAGACACACAAACATGCACTTCCTAGACGTGTCCGAGGTGACAGCTCAAGATCTTTCGCGGGTTTCTGTGGAGCCGAGTCAGTTCGGTGGGATGGTGTTTGTATACGACGACTACAAGGCTTTGTGAGTCCTGTTCAACCGTCTGTACGGGGCTGTAAAAAAAGAAAAAAGGAGTCCATTATGTCCATAATCCATTATGTCTTTGTGGATGAGCTTCAGTTCTCCAATGAGCCAATCCTGTCTCCAAAAGCTTCCAATGCTGGAGAGGTCTTGGTAGGTGATGCATTTACGAAGCACAGGCCTCGGTTTTCTTCTTATTTGAGCTCATGTGGAACTGTGGACAGAAACAAGTCTCCGGCCCTTTGCTTGTGTGTCTCTTATAGATCCCAGGTAGCTATCTGGGACTTTTGAGCGATCCACAGTGATCCTCATCATGAATACCCCACATCGCCAAGCGCTTGAGTTTATTATCCACGTGTGTCAAATACACACTCGCTCTCTCTCCACCAGCGGGACTCGTGCATCTTCATTCCCATGGCGACAATGAGCCAGACAACATGCTCTCTGTCCTTCTGTGTGTTTGAGAGCCCCGGGAAAGAAAAGGGCTCATATGAACACCATTACTTTTTTTTTTACGACGCACACGCTTTGGGGATTGCATGAGGTTGACGCTCGCGCACAACACAAAAACACAAACACGCGTGCAGAACAACAACACAGTCAAAGGCGCGGTTTTTAATTGCCCCTAAAAGCCAGTATGGACATGCTTCCCTTGTCAGCTGCCGCCTGTGTGGTGCGTGGGGAGCTGCTTAATGATCATTACAAGCGGAGGAGGAACAATGAGGTGAACAGGGAGCCAAACAGAGAGAGAGAGAGAGCGATGCAACGATGCATCGTGGGAGCACGTTGGCAGTTTGTGCGAGCGCCACAAACCGAGAGCGTGTTTGTCTGGGCGGTTTCACGTTGAAACAGCAGCGTGCGACTGCGTGTTTGAGGGGGACAGGGGGGGTTGGGGAGATTAGAAAGATGAGAAACATTACAGCGTGTTTCTCTTTGCCTCTCAGAGGCAGACTGCTGATATTTTCCTGAAATGACATTGAATGATAATGATTTACCTCAATAGGGGCTCAACACACACGCTGCATACGAGCACCAGCCACTGCGCTGCTTCCCGGCGCTGACTTGCTGCTGGAAATAGTGGAGTGAAAATAAAGAGTTAAATGGCAGACAGGGAGAGATATTTACTGCATCATTGTAAGCAATTGCTCAAGAGTTCATAGACAGGGTAAATGTTAACTTTTTCGTGAACGATTTTAAACAGAACGGCAGCTTTTCCATCCCGCAGTCAAATCAGGGATTTGCCGCCTGATTTTTACCTTTGGTTGAACTTTCACATCAACATGCTTTGCAAAGCAAGGAAAGGCAAAATTTAACAAGACAAAACTAAAGTGCTTTTTGTAAGAACGATTTAAACATCGAGAAAAAGAAAAAACTATTAAGTAAAAACAGCGTAAAACAAGTAAACAAGAATACACGTTTATAAAAGTAAAAAGTATCCACTTCATATGTTTTTACTCTGGAATCAGTGATATGCTATATTGATCATGCATTTTAATGACGTATTCATTGATGTGTTCATTACTGTACACACACAAGATTATCCTCGCACTTGAAGTATTCTGGGAGCGGCTCCATCTCCGGTCCAGTCCAGTGACCTCGTCCCAAACACAACGTCCGGCCTTTGTGCTGCACACTGAACCCTCGCAAATATTCATCGACAACACCTGCGAGCTCCATGTGAATGCATGAGGGAGTTCATCAGGCTAAAAGGGCTCAAAATGCAGTGAGTGAAATGGGACAGCAGATCGCATCACATCAGATCAGTTTATTTCTGTAAAGGCAATGGGGCTTGGATTCGATAAGTAATTAAGTAGTTTGTTATTCCCGCTACGTTTATGGGGAGCTGAGGGATTTTGCTTGGTCAAACGAAAACAAACTATTGCTGATAGACACAAAAACCCTTCTGCTAACTAAGCTTTGTGCGTGTAAAACATGTACTTCAGAGCTTCCTGTGTTATTGTTTGCATATTAGTAGTGCAGTCCTTCACAAAGGTCTTCAGTCTGCAGAAAGACAGGGGTGTGGCGCTAATTGTGGGTTGAAAAATAGTTTGAAATTTTCTTTTAGCTCAACATTTTTTTCTAAAAAACTATTTTAGGGTTGGAAAATGTTAAAATATGTCACATCGAAAAAATGTAATGGATATAAAACACAATTTACTTAGAGCCATTGATTTGAAGATTAGTTCATTTACTGTGCTCATACTAAACACAACACACATTGATTGTCTGTTTCTTTTGCTGTAAAACCTGAGCAAACAAGACCAAAATAAACCAAAACATTCTCAAATAACCCATAAAGGATGATAAACAACTCCCTTGCAAATATAACGTCTTTATGATCCCTAAAGAAATATATATTTTGGGATGCAGTGACAATGACAGTAACAGTTTTACCACCAATAATGTATTTCTAAAGCTTCCAAACATTGTCATTTTTAAAAAGACACGAGAAAAAAGAAGGATTTTTGCTTCAATGCTGCATGAGTAAAGGTTCACTTTGTCTTTTTGCGTTGAAACTTTGAAACTCTCAAATGTTTCATGCTATTGATGTTTCCCATCTGTGTATGTGTGCTCTGCAGCGCAGATGTGCATATCTGCAAAATCAATAGAGAGAAGTTTATTAAATGATTCAAAGGTCGACTCAAGCCCAGTGTTAACGAAAAGAAATGGTCGGAGCCCAACCGGAATGAAGTCATGGTGTTGGGGGCCCATCTGGCTCAGCCACAGTAAACCAACAAAACCAACCAGTCAGCCTCAAGCACACTTATACTTTAACACGTGGATAATTGCCAACTGACAGAGAAAAGGGGCAAATTGCACTCAGCTGCATATCTTTTGTGTATTGAATTATGAGCAAATATCTGATGCAAAAGATGCACAATTGAGCACAAGTCCACAATACATTATGTATGCATGTGCATGTTATTTGTAGTAAATGCCCCAGACATTTGACCTCAAAAGCATAGGTATGGTTCCTTCTGACTGCATTTGTAATGAAAACACAAAGCTTTCCCAGGGGATGGATGCATAAGTTCACCTCAGTTTGCTATGTTACAGGAAGAAGAGTCTAAGAACTACGAGCTGTTTTTCTTCCCAGATGAGCCTCCACTGCAATGTCATGCCGAAGTGATGCATAGCAGCAGCGTTGGGTACTCGGAAAATAAGAAAATATAATGCATTAATGTCACCGGTGACATCTTATTATCAGATGTGCAACTCATTGGGGGTAGCATGATGCTAACACCTTCAGCTGCCACACTACTCAACCGCTGAGCAACCCCAACATCTATTGCTTGTGCCAGATAACGTTACCTTATAGTCACTAAACAGCTTTAAATAAGACAACAAAAACAGTTCATTGTTCCTCTAAATGACAACGACTCTCGCAGCAGTGAAGGAAATCACGTCGGGGCGATCGACCGCCAGCTATTGATTCAATAATTGTTTGTGACTGCAGAAACGAGTAGTGGGACAGAAAACTGCTTCTGGCAAAAGACGGCTTGAATGTCAGTCCGGGAGCTGCAAGCACATCTGCCCCCCCATGAGAGGCTCCCAGGGCTCACGCTGGTGGACCAGACCAGAAGCTCGTGTGCGTCCGTGTCAACAAACACATCTTTGTAAACAAGGAACAAAATCAACTCTTACACTCTTCCGAACAATCTCTTCTTAAGTCGGCAGAAGGATGCCGGGGTCTATCAAGTTTTTAGTTGAATGGTTGGTGTAGTTAAACACAGACAACTATGTATTAAATATCGATTTGAGGTGGGTTTGGGTTTATCTTCAAAAGGCAAAAAAAAACAAAAAATCAAGCACACCTTTTGTGTTCGTCTTGTCTGTGAGTCATCAGTTACCATGGTACCCTATTCAATGGAAGTTTATGGAAATTTATGGACTGATCAACGTTATTAATGTGCGAGGGGTTTGTAGAAGAACTCAACGAACTTCCTCCCCTGACTCCACGTCGTGATATATATGACACGCTGTACGTACATTCTGAGCACGCAAATCCCTCCGGTGAGACGGCACACGTTAGGTCTCTTCACCAAATACGTGCATGTACCATGTTACTAAATGTTGAGCGACGTGCTAATGTATGTATACCCACTCACGAATAGCTGATAGGTCAACTTGTTTAATACCCCTGGTTTTCAAATTGATTTAGAGTCCACGGGAACGGCGTAGGGGCCAATATGTCTGAGGTCAGAATATATGCAGCATCACAATATCTCCAGAGCTTCCGAATGATTCACATGGCGTCATTTTGGATGAATAAACAGCTTTTTTTTTCCTTTTTTTTTTTTTACAAAAGATGTGTTTCCTCTCAATAAGCAGAAAGAGAGATGGAGCGAGATATTGCCCGAGTCAATTCCCGCTCCGTCCTGCCCTGCAGCTTGTCTCCATTATCAGCTGCCCATCTCAGTGCTGTCTAAATGATTTCACAAGCTGAGTAAATAAAGACATCTCTCACCAGAAGAAGGGCGAGGGAGGGGTGGGGTGGGGCCCCGTTCCTGCACTGCTCGATTTGACCACCGGGGGATGCTGTGTCAGTGAGAGATACTGTAATAAAGCGCCTCAGACCCCTGTAAGACAGAAAAACCTGCCCATTTCTCTGCATTGCCTCACACGCGTCAATGGCTCGCCTTGGTTCGTTCTTCTAAAGAATCTCTTAGCTTTTGTCAAGTGTCTCACTTTTGTGAGGGTCAAACTGCAGCCCCCCACTTGAAAGGGCAGCTTGCTAAGAAGTGTAGACTGGATTCCACTCAATGACCAAGATTCGGACTTCTTTGCTTTCTTGCTTTTTATTTTTAAAATTGTCCAGGTCAAACCAGGTGAAAAACCTTGAAATACAAACATGAATGTAAGGTCAAAGAAATATAACCCAAGAAACCATAATCAATTCACATACCCAACATCACATACTTAATTTATAATCTACTGGAAATTAACCTCAAAATAAGTAGAAAGGCAACCCAAATTTAAAGTATCCCAATACTAAATTAAATACATTTTTAAAACACTATTTAATAATAATTTTAACCTTTAACCTTCACCAGATTTTAACTCCGCTGAATACACACAATTCAAGTTTTATCCAATTACTTTTAGCTTGAATACTTTTTAAAACACATTAAATATATGGACATTTGATTTTGCATTTCATGCCATAAGTAGTCAGCCACTCAAAAGCTCACCGGCTCCTTCTTCAGCCTTTGCAAGCTTTATTCCTGCAGTCTCCTCTTCCCAAGCTCTTCAATCTCGCTTTCTCACACTGCTCGCTCTTCACTGTCCTGTGAGTGAGTGACTCCAACCCCCCTGATCGCCAGATCCTCTCCACCTGGTGCATTAAAATCTCCGCCTCCAGCCTGAGAGACTCACCTAAACCTACCTCCCAGCCAGAGAGGGGCTCGGTCTGCAACTCAACTCAACACCTCCCACTCGATCTTCCCACGAGAACCGCTGGAAAGATCGCACAGTGACCTTGTGGTCAGAGATCCCCTTTTTGGCCTCCTGCCTGCTCCTCCACTGGCAGCAGAACCACCAATCGTCGAACGTCCCGATGAAGAATTGTGGACTGAACGTCCCTCCAGATGCTGGAGGCAAGATGCCTGGATGCTGATGTTGCAGGTCTCACCTGAGGGATACAGGAGCTTGTCACAACTCTGACTTTCACATCCCGTACTATGCCTCTGGAGTCTGGGTTGACACTTATAACCCTCCCAAGCTTAAAGTTACCCCTCAATGCATTTTGGTCGCACAGCCAAACAATATCTCCGTCTGCAACATTCCTCTGTGTAGTGTGCCATTTACTCCTCACGAAGAGATTAGGGCCGGCAAGTTGGCTCCAGGACCTCCAGAATTTGTTGACCTGGTGCTGCATTTCCTGAAGCCTCTTATAGGGGTAGCTCGTAAACACAAATGTTTTCCAGTCACCACTCGATGATGCCCGCCCCAACAGGAGTGCATTGGGTGTGATGTACTGCACGGTGTCTTCACAGCTCTGCACCCTGGCATCAATGGGGCGCTCATTCGACAGATTAGCAGCGAGCTGAAGTGTCGTCTGAAGTTCGCTGTAACTGAGCTCTGATTCTCTCCCCAGACTCTGGAACGCCTTCTTCACAATTCGAACAGCTGCTTCAGCAGAGCCATTTCGATGAGGTGAATCAGCCGGCTGGATTTCCCAATGCCAGCTGGTTCCATTTTGAGCTGAAGTTTCCTCCACAGCAGGCCTATCCAAACCATCCAGAAACTGATACAACTCCTCCAGAACAGGTTTGGCACCAACAAAATTGGTCCCTGGGTCGGACCAAATCTTCTTAGGATGTCCTCGAATTGCTGTGAACCTCTGATAAGCCATCAGAAAGCTTTCAGTCGACATGGTGTTGACTGCTCTGTGTGGATTGCTCTACTGGCCATACAGCAGAATACGACGCCCCAAACCTTCATCCGGACTCTCTTCTTCACATCATCCTTGACCAGATACGGTCCAAACAGGTCAACTGCCGTGAATTCAAATGGAGCCGCTGGCCTGGTTCTCTCTTGAGGCAGATCACCCATCACTTGGCGACATCTTCTAGCTCTGGCTTTCTTGCAAATCACACAGTTTTCAATGATTTTTTGAGCAATTCTCCGTCCCTTGATGACCCATGCTCTCTTTCTCACTTTCAGTAGAGTAGCAGCTGTTCCCTCGTGACCCCTGCTGTGAGCTTCACGAACCAACAATGTTGAAACCCAGGCACTGTAAGGTAAGAGGGGAACACTAACTCGGTCTTCATTAAAAGCCTGGACCCTCCCACCACAAACTAGTAGCCCCGTTCCTTCTTCTTTGAAGACTACCAACCGGTCCGTTGTGGTTGTTGGAAAGGTCACGCCCTCTTGTGCAGCAAGAAAAAGGTCTCTTAAGGCGTCTTGGCGCTCTGTTGCAGTGATGACCCCGGCTGATGAAACTGCCTCCCACTTTGGAGTCCCCAAGATCCTGCTTTGAGCTGCAAAGCACTTAGCTGCTCTCCAGACCTGGGCAACCGCTTTAACCAGGTGAGTCAGGTTTCGGACAGCAGCACCAGCAGGTGGTCTCCGACACTCCAGGTCTGGTGGCCCTTTCTTCACCTGAGCTCTTGCGAGTACGGCAGTAAATGTTTTCCTTTGCATCTTTCCAACACTCTCTCTGGCAGTTGCGGATACGTCCTTTGCAGACTTAATTGGCCACTCATTTGCTGGTAAACTCAGGAACTCTGGTCCTTGCTGCCATGGTGAACCTTCATCCAAATCTTTTGGACCAGCCCCACGAGTGATAATATCAGCAATGTTGAGCGTTCCAGGGATCCACCACCAATCCTGACGTTGCGTGCTGCCTTGGATTTCTCCAATCCTGTTGGCAAAAGGAAAAAGTCTGAAAGCCATAGCTCTCACGTTGAATGCACCAAGGACTGTTTGACTGTCAACAAAGTGGTACCACTGCTTGACTTGAATCCGGCCATGTTGCTCAAAGTACTTTTTTAACCCAGACGGCGAATACTGCTCCACAAAGCTCTGACTTGACTGCTTCCCCCTTGTGGTCCAAAGGGGTCAACTTAGCTTTAGACTCCACCAGTCTCACCATGGACCCTTGGTTACAGGCCCACCGTAGGTACAGGACGGCACCATACGCATGCTCGCTGCCATCAGAGAAGGTGATTGCATCAGGTTCAGCCGGTGCACCTGCTGGCGTAAGGGCTCTATGAAACTTGACCTTACTCAGCTGGGCGTATTCTTCGAAAAGGCTGATGGCATCTTCTCTGAGCTTTTCTGATCGCAAGATCCCAAGTGTCTTTGCTGGTGCTACATTTGGGTTTGGCCTCTTGAAATGCTCTCCGAACCAAAATGCCCCCTCTCCGCTTCACAGGCGTTGTTCGCCAATCGGGTAATATAGTCCAGAAACTTGGCTGAGTAACTCTCGTCGTCGCCAATGGGTCTGGCGTCTGAGCTCTCACCTGCTCCAGTCGAAGGTCTTGGCCAAGTCTCATTTTCCTCTTCCTTCTTGAAAAGTTTATCTCAACCATTACATGAAGCTGTCATCTTGCAGGGTGTAGCCAAGGCCAAGGGCTTTGTGTCCTCCTCTTTGAGCTGATTCGGCAGAATTACAGTCCTTGGAGTAACCGCCTGGTCGTTTCCAGACGACTCCCTCCTACTTTGGCCAGTGAAGACCCATGGCTTCAACTCGAACCCTCCTGCTTTGAGGATCTGCTCCACATTTCCCGTGATGACTTTAAGTTGGTCCAAGTTATCATGAGAGGTCAAGAGGTCATCGACATAGCTGTCTTCCTGCAGCACTCGACGCTCTTCCTCAAGATGGCTGAACTGAGGGAGGTTAGCAGTCTCTCTCATGGTGAGTTGAGCGATGCAGCCTGCTGGCTTGTCTCCAATGTTAACTCTCGTGACTGCATATTCAGCCAGCTCTTCTTCCTCAGAGTCACGCCACAGGAACCTATGCAAATGCACCTCTTGATCTTCCAGCCACACTGAATTGTACATTTTCTTTACATCTCCTAAAGCAGCAAACCCTCCCCTCCGGAATTTAAGAAGCACAGCACGGATTGAGTTAAGGACGTCTGGGCCTTTCAGCAGGAGATCATTGAGGCTCACCCCTCTGCACTTTTGACTGCTGTTCCAGACCAGTCTTACCGGAGTTGTGACGGAGTGTGGGTTGGGTGCGATGAGGTGGCTAATGTACCATACTGGGCCAGTCCATTCACGAAGTACATCTTTGGTCAACTTCATTTCAGCCCTGCGCTCGACCATCTCGTGCACTTGAGCGGCATAGGCGGCCTTCCATTCTGGCTCCCTGGCCAGTTGCCTCTCAGTCCTCAAGAATGTGGCCTCGACTGCGCTTCTGTTGCTTGGTAATGTGGCTGGATCTTCCACCCAGGGGTACTTAGTGTGCCAGTGAGGCCTCTCACTGTGGTCATCAGCTGCTACATATGTGAGCCCGCTCTTTACCACCTCCAGCTCCCTTTCTTCAGCGAGGGTCATTTCTTTGCCGCCTGGCTGACAGTTTCCGCAACGACAGCCCCCACATCTCGGAACACAACCAGCACCAATGCTTTCCCATTTCCACCAGTCGATGAAACTGGATGTAGTAGCAGCACAGCTGGATATCTGAGGTTGGGCGGAAGTTGGGGCTCGCTGGCTTTGAGGAGGATGAACGGGGACTGCGCAGGTGTGTTCTTCATACTTTGCAGCAGCAGTTCTCATAGACCTGGCAAAGTGTGTCCTCGACGTATGGGCTGATACAGTGACCTCCTCAAACAGCTCAGGATGGGTGCCAGCAACTGTCTTCCCCATTGGTCCATCCCACAGTACGAGGTCCCCCACCGTTCGGATTTTCTGTGGAGCCAGTTGACCCTCCTTGTGACTTACAAGGAGCTGGATCTCTTTTGGCCTTGTCAGGTCGCTCAGCGGGACATCTGGGAAGAACTGTTGCAGTTTTCTGGCTGACACATGTCTGTGGATATCCGCAATGCGGTCTAAGCCGTAGCAAACCAGCTGGTGGGACTTGAGAGCGCCTCTTGAGGTGCCAACCCGGATTTTCAGGAGATACCGCTTTGTTTTAACAAAGACTTTCATGCCTCCCACCCCATGAACCACAAGTGTGATATCTTCACTTCTGAGATTGAGCCGACCTGCTGCCTCATGGGTGATATAATTGGTGTCAGAAGCTAGGTCGATCAGGGTCCCAATTCTCTGTCCAGCATTGGCTGTCACCTCCAAAAGCATCATGATGACGGGCCACTCCGCTAGGCCGCCCTCTGCCAGAAGACTCAACTCAACAGCTTTCATTATAATATTATCATGAATAATTAAAATGCAATGAAAACATGTATATGCAATTAGATTTCATGGGTGTTAAATTTTACAGCTCATTAAAAAACAGTTATCCCACTAGCCAGAGACATGTGTCAGTACTAACAGCTTAGAAAAAAGAACAGGAGCAACCCTGTTTTCTATGAAAAGAAAAGGCCGTCCTTTCAGGAGGAACAACATTCAGTCAGTCAGTCATTACAGCCCACAAGCATCATGCCCACTTTCAAGAAATAACACCCTTCAGGGCCTGAGATGTGGTTAAAAGACAACACGTTTCACATAGAGAGACGGGTCTGGGTGGGAAGATGGGCCAACGATACTTTAGTGTCCTTTTCAAATGCTGTCGCTTATGTCGTTCATCTTATTATCTTTACAGATGTTACAATCATGTATTTCTCGCGGGTAGTTACATGTTTCCTTAAGTATACCTAACAATCATTTCCTGCATGGAACCACCATCCTGCAACCAAAAGACAGCAAAGGTCCCCCGAAGGTACCTTCAAGACCTTTTATGTGCACGCGTAATCAGCGTTTGTGGTAAAATGGTCAGTTGAAGCAACACATTCCTTACTGTGTGCTTCATTCACAGGGGAAGCTGCTTTCTCCTCCTCGCCGATCCGATCACGTCACCCGAGATAACAGCTGTTCTGCCTGAATCCGATCACACCAACGTCACAACATGAAACCGCTGCGTTGCTTTTTTTTTTAAGTGATTAGTGACAGGACGGCATCTCATCATTGTCATCCTGTGAAAGGTATGTTTATGCACCAAAATCTCACGGTTAGGGTTGGTCCAATATAAGGGTTTGGCTTAAAGGGATGATGCTCGTAATGTGATCCAAGCAAAGGACGCGAGTCAGTGAATGAGCATCGCTTTATGTACCTTCTGGCCTGAGTGGACTCCCTCGTTCTTTATACCACCTCATTGGTCTGAGCGTGGAGTGAAGAATCGGACGGGTGTACGATGGAGTAAGCAGAAAGCCTGCTGTGTCTCATGCACCGCTACAGGATCCCTTTTGCTTCAGATGTAGAGACGGAGAACAGCTATGCATTGTTTTAACAGGCAGGATCCAGTTATTCCTTTTTTTCATTGAATTAATGGATTTCATCTCAATTTTTTTCTCTTTCTTTTCCATTTTTTTGCCATATAGTGCTTAGGGGTCAACATCTACCCCTACAGGCACCATCATGAACCACAAGGCAATGGCAAGTTACTCTTTTTGTTTAATTTGGACGACCTGTAGGTTGAATGCAGTGTCGATGGGGGTCGCACACCAGCTAATCCAGAGGTTTATAACAAAGAGGTTCAACCATGAGTCTAAATTGGGAAATTTGGCACAACCAGTTTTCTTACTTACTTGGAATGTAGAATTTACTGCATTTGTACACTGTGGTTTTGCTATGGGTACTCAGGTAGATCATTTAAGGACTTCTTCCCCCACTGAAATATGCATTTAATGTTAGCAAAACAGTGAGTGGAAGCAGCGCACAGAAAAAACGCATTTCTATAAATAAACGCAATGCTTTCTGGAAACAGTTGCTTTGTGTCTGCTCCTGTTAAGAGCCGAGCTTGCACCTCAGGAACAGATTGTCAGGGGGTGAAGAATGAGTTACAACGTCAGGAGCGACAGGGAGAAGAGATGGAGAGGGAAAGGTAGTGGAACAGAAAAGAGAAGAAGGGAGAACCTGCAGCAGGGATTTGGTCAGCTGGGGGAAGTTGAAATGCAGATGGCCAGGTGGTCCGTTGGCTCCCGTTCCTCTTCCTCTTCTCTCAGAACCCCGTCTCTCAATTCTTCCACTAAACACTCCTCTTTCACACGTTTCCCCCCCCCCCATTTGCTGTCCTCGTCATTCCTCTGTTTTATCTTCCCCTTCTGCTCCTTTTTATAGTCTATCTTGCACTCCATTCTGTGCTCCCCCCTCTTTATCAGCCCTACTTTTTTCATCCCGGTTGGTAATCTATTCGATCCGAACCACATGTGGCAATGAATTCTCTCTCTGGCACCCCGAGGTGCAGCAGCAATCCTTGGCCAAAAGGAAGGCAGATCCCTTAGATCTTATTATATCGCCTGCCTGTGGTTACCACAATCTGAAGCGAGATTCTCACTTGTGAAAAATTATAATGCAATATACCAAACAAACACCGCTATAAATAAAACTTGATAACTTTGCAAAGTCGTGTCACAGCGAATTCCACCCAAGGAACTTCTGTGCATAAATATACACTTCATGTGCCTCTGCAACATACTCACAAGTATATGTTACTGTTTCAGGATAAAAATAAAATACAATTTTAATGCTGAGACCCCTGTCATTCAGAAGCCTTCTTTTCCATCTTTCGCCCATCAGTTTGAGATTAGAACCACCTGTTTTGTATGATGAATCGTAGTGGCTATATCTACCGTTCAATTAAAAAACAGAACACCCAGGGATTTAGGCAAAATAATGACTTGGTTAGGTCAAAGGAAAGATCATGATTTTTGCTTTTACGGAACTAAAGTTAAATGCGACGCTTAAAAGCACGAAAGCACTTTATTTGTTAAAGGCAAAACAAAAGCCGTACAAGTGCAAACAGAAGTTGGCCTTGGTAGCGTCTTTGCTATTCTGCAACACACTTCTTACAAAACGCCACACTCATTTCTAGACAAACACACACACACACACGGATACACAATGTGTGAAATATATGGCAATCACTGGAAAACACTTCTATTCAAAATGCAAAATATGTGAAATTGGCGGCGCCGCCCCACACACACGCATGAATTGAAAACCAATCAGTCTGAGCCTTCACACAACAAATAGACGTGAGGTGAGTTCACCCATTTAGGGAGCACTCTGCACACGGGGGAGGGACGAGGGACGAGGGGGGGGGGGGGACACAAAAGAAGAAGTGCACCCGGTAATAGACGAGGACATATTTCAGAGGACATCAGGGCCACTTTGCTGAACAATGTCATGAATCACAGCTTCCACAAAGTGGACATTTAAACTGGAGAAACGCTGGTTCTTTAAAGTTTCTCGGCTACTATGAAACTATAATGTAACGTCGGCCTATTTTTAACCTTTTGTCACGTCAGAGAAGTATTGTAAAACCAGAAATGAAGAACAGACGAAATGGGTTCCTTTGTTTCAGCGATTGGATTTGTGAAGCTTGGGGGGGGGATGAAAGTCCACTGTACTGATCAATACCCAGCAAACCTGATCCATCAGTGTGGTGTTAACGGTTCCACAGACATGTGGAGACGTATTTGGTGCAGCGGCTCGGTTAATGACACAGTTTTCCCTTTTGACGTTGACAGTAGAGTCAAGAGTAAAGTCACATGACATGTTTAAACGTATCCTCTTCCCTCATTCTTAAACCTCATACCAGATGACTTCTTTTACCTTTGGAATCAGAAGCATGCTGCCATTCAATTATATATGACACTCGATTTTGGGTGAAGAGACATCTGATTACCTGGTCCTTAGAGGACTTGACCAACCTAGGGGACGTTGCTAACTCTGTAAAAAAAAAAGAAAGCCGTGTCCTCTCAGCAAAAGGTCCACTCCTGGGAATACTTTGCAATGTATTCTTCTCAGATAATTCATTAGATTTACAATGGAGCCAGTAAAAATGAGGTCATTAATCTGAATCAAGGGCGGTATTAGAGAATCAGCAGGAGGCTGAGCTCAAGAGACAGAGTTGCAATGAGCTCGGAGTATTTATGAGTGTTCAGAAGAGCGCATTTGGCACTTGTGGTTTTTCTAATGATGACTCCTCTTTGGCGTCGGAGTTTAAGAGTATCGCTGTCTTGCAGTTGTACTAGTCAATAATCCTGTGCATGATTGGGTTTGCCTGTCGGATTATTTCTCCCTTTGTGTTCTCTCTGTGTGTCTCTTTGTCCTCACAAAGACAGACGGAGGAATCCCTCGTTCCCGCACGGCGACCAGAGAGGAGGGAAGTTTTATTTGGTAAATATGGGGTTGCAAACCTGTGAGGAATTCATGATTGCAACATCTGAAAAGATTATATGATAGGAAGACATACGCGACAGCATTTGAAAGGGTGATTTTAGCTAATCAAAGACTCGATCCGGGTAAGACGTGCAACAGGAAGCAGGTAGTCCGACCATTGCCCGAGGCCCCGCTGCCCCCCCCCCCAGCTGACTCCCGCCCCCCCTTAGGAACAGTAGATTCTTTAGACAAGCAAGCCTCGCACTCCAAGTAATCACAAGTACTCACAAATTGCAACACTTCAGCGTCTCAAAATTCTCTTTCATCACTTCCCTCCCACACTCCTGCCAGCTCGCAGCTTGGTATGACTATTAATCGTGGTACTGGTGTGAAGTGTCGCTCAGGGAGCCGGGACTTCGTACCTCCGGGTCAAGATTCAGCTCTGCAGAAGCTGATCTGCAGTCTGACAGCAGCTTTGAGAGGACTTGGTCCCCACTCCGCAGAACTCCGCACTTGCTGCTCCCACATGCTCCAGTGGTCCTGCTTTGCTTATATCTTCTTCATGAAAGAAAAGAAAACAGGTAAAGACCTCTCCCTCGGAATGAAATGTGCCGTCTAAATAATGCATGCGCTGCTTTGCCTTCAACTACGTCCTGGGATCCCTTTTAAGTTTCTACATGTACCTTTTTTGGTCCAAATACTAAGGACCAAACGATCTAAATCAACCAAAAACACCATGTAATCCCCTTGCTGAAGCTGTCCCTGTACCCATGCGTGATGTGTCCCTGGGGGAAGCTGTGGCCCACAGCAGGTCCCGCTATCTCACTGAATCATGCACACTCTCATCCCCCACTTACTGTCTTACTTTCTGCATCGGCGCTTTGCTCTCTCACGGCTTTCCCTTAAACTGCTCTGCGACGCAGTGTTTCAGGGCTCATTGGGACACTGTCAGGAGCGTCCAACTGTGACCCTTGAAGTGGGAGTGGATGGATTTAAGGCCCCCATCACACTCTAGACAAGGAAAATAGTGTTGGAACCTCGAATTTCCTCGTCATTCAATCATGCAATATACGTCTCTGTCCTTATTTGTGCAGTTGCATTCATACAAACATGCCCACTTCTTCACACAATGAGATATAATGGCTGAATATTTACAGGCTCATATGTATTCTGCACGGCAAAACCATTCCTGCCTAAATTTCCCCACGAGAGATTGCGATGAAGAACGCGGCTGACGGATAAGTGAGTGACACGGCTGACTGGCTCGTGCTGGCGTCTGTGTGGGAGGTGGCACACGTTCCCAGCCAAGCAGTCTGCATGGGAGCAGAAGTATTCAAATCATCTATCTTTTGTTCATTGAATAAAAACATACTCCAATTCTTCTGATCAAGCAAAGGCCGCCGTTTGATCGTTTTCTCGCGTGTCCGTAGTGTGCGAAGACCGAGTTATTTGGATGGTCTGCTGTGGATCGAAATGATCCGCTTTTATTCATGTTCCAACAAATTAGCTGCTTTTTTTTTATCCCCGGGGAGAAGTGTGTCCTTCACACATCTCCCCCTCTTTGTCTCACTGGAGCTTTTAGTGTGCCTTTGCCGTTCATGAATAGTCAAACCGCAGCTCCTGTTTGGCTGCGTGTGCGGGTTCTGCTGGGGAGCTGGTATCGGGAGCACTTGAAAGGAATGCAGAGGGACTGAGAGCGAGAAGGAAAGAGAGAGAGAATAGATTGATCTCGGGGAGGGAAATGGAGGGGCGAGCCGGCGGAGAGGAGACGTTCTCCGCAGCGTGTTCCCTTTCCATCCACCCGCTCTTCATCTGCTGCCTCAGTGGGCAGGCGGAGGCCAAGAGGGACGGCGCCATGACGGAGAAGGAAACGGCGTGAGGACAGGGGGGGGGGAGAAGGGGCAACGACGGGAGAGAAGAGTGGGAGAAGAAGATGAAAACAAGAGCTTAATTGATGTGTTCAGTTTACTGCGAGGACACAAAATAATGACTTACTTTTAAAAAGAAGAAGTACTTTCTGCAAAAGTACACGTTTTGGTTTCATTGGTTTTCATGTCTGTTTGAATATTTGGATTGTGGATCAAAATGATGCCAAACATCTGATTAAAAGGGCCGACCCGGGCGGCACTGAGAGCGCTGTTTTAAAACGAACAAACAATTTCTTTGATAAAGACATTTAGCCTCTAGTGTCGCCATTAGCAGGAAAGTAATTCATGTATTACTTCATCTTTTTTTAAAACATTGTTTTATCTATTGACTTTTTTATTTGGCCTTTTTTCTGTTGCATTTTCATTTCATTCCTCCCATTGTGTTTAATTTATTAACAGAGCAATTACCTTTTTATTGCTTTAATGAGATAAGAACATCACATTTTTTACAGTTTCAGTAGCCTATCATTTCAATTGCAGTCAAACATGATTTCAACACAGTCTTTGTAATATTATAATATCTAAATATTATTTAGGTGGCTTAAAACTTCCTGCACTTTGAATTTGTGTTATCTTTGCTATCATGAAAATTGAAGAAATTGTGCAAATAAATAAAACTCCAGCTCAAGACTATGACTCAAACTTTTCTTTAATGTGAAGGAATATGAATTGAAGTTGGACTTCAGTGTATCTGCAGACTAACATTTGTGAATTGTCTTCATAGCTGTAAGTAAAAAACAAGGACACGTTGTTCTTGCATGAAGCCCGAAGCTTTAAAGGTTTAAAAAATCACACGCACGCACAAAAACACAATTCTTCATTGCCACCCCCGAACAGAGAGAAGCTCTCTCTCTCTCTCTCTCTCTCCGTGACTGGGAGAAGGAAAACTCTTCTGCACTTGGGACTCTGCTTGGGAGATAATTATCTCTGTAGTCGGCTCGCTGAGCCCGTCTGCACTGCATAAAGTCACACAAATACACCGAAGGCCGCGTCCATACAGCCACTGATGCCATAACGAGGGCCACACACACACACACACACACACACACAGCCGGTACCCTCGCATCTCATGGACTTTGACAGAATCTATTCGCCCACCTGCTCCTCTTCCTTTTCCAAAATGCGGAGCGGTGGATGTAGAATATCTGGCTGGTTAGGATCCTCTGCTGTCGCTTTCCTCTCTTTCTCGTGCTTCTTTGTTCTTTCTCTCCATCTGCTTCCCCTCCTGTTCCCTCTCCTGCTTCCCCCACCGCTTCTCCTTCACGCGGGGCCTTTCCATTCCCTCGCCTCCGTCACCTCACCCCCTTTTCCTAGTCCCTCGCGTCTCGCTTTCTTCTGATCCGCCCCTTCCACCTCAAATCCTCTCTTTCCCTTCTTTCCTATCCTCCTGTTTGCTTTCTACTTGTGTCCTCCGCGCTCCTCGTCCCCTTGTCTCCTCTCGCCTCATCTTTCTTCTCTGCTGTGTTCCAGTCTGCTTGCACACCCCCTCGTCCTCTTCCTTCCCCTCTCCTCTCCTCCCCGTCGCGTACCTCCGCATGCACACCACGTATTCAATTACCGTGGACTTGATTACTTGCTTAAAATGCGTCATCGAAGGGCGAGCAGCTACTTACTCTCTGAAGGAAATCTATCGGCGTCCTGCTTACGATGCCGCGAGCTTCCTCTTCACTTTTGTTTGTGTGCTTTTTCCGGAGCGGCCGCGCTGCTTCCGTGCTGCGGGTGTGTGTTTGAGGAGCAGAGGGGGAGGGAAGGGGGAGAGTTTCTCTCTTCCTGTAGTCTCTGTGATTTTCACACACACACACACACACACACACACACAAAGGTCCACTAATACCTGCTCATTACAGATAACAGCTCGGTCCTCAGTCAATGAAATTATGTTATTTGAGTTCAATAATACAAATCACTGAACATGTTACCAGCTGATTGATGCAAAAAATCCCCCGTGGCCTCGGCTGATGTCGGTCACCTGCCCTCGCACACGCACACGCACACGCGTACACACAGAATCATACAGCCGCACAGAGGAGCATACTAAAACAAATCCCACAAACAAAGACGTATTGGAGCGTGCACAGTGAGAGCTTTTTAAACCTCCTAATAGGCCCGGCTGGAGAGAAGCAATGAAGCAAATTGGAACGAAATGGTGCACAGAAAAAACGAAGAACATGCTTCCCAACTCTCGGAGTGCGATGCGAAGTGTACGTCTTCCACGTATCTCTTGTGCGTCGTTGCACGGTGGATTGGTTCAATGCTGAGGTTATATTTTTATATTTTTGATAGTAATGACATGTTGTTGTTGTTGTTGTTGTCGGGGGTGTAAGACTTTTTTTATTTGTTAGCTTTATTTTCAGCAACTCCAAGAGTGAGGGACTCGCCCTTGGCTGCTGGCCAGTTGGGCCCAGCGTACTGGTTTATTCATCCCTCCCACTGGTGCGCTGGAGAGTTTTGGAATGAATTATTCTCATTTTCCTTCCTTGACATTGAGACCGTCGCTGGTGGACCTTCAGCTGGGACTTTAAGTGCTGTAGCGACGGCAAGCGACACTGTATCATCAATAATGTTGAGAATTATTTAAAGTCAAACTCAAGAACATCCTGAATGAAACTTCAACAAATGTTTCTGACAAAGTGTTGGCTTCTTTTCTCAGGATTTGGGGAACTTTTTTTGAGGACGTTTTAACCTCTGGAACAAAAACCTGGCTCCTTTTTATTTGTTTTACTGTTTGTACCCATCATGAAACTAATGCACAGTCCAAAATGTCTGTGAGTCGTATGGGATCTTACAGGCTGAACGTATCCAATCTATTTGGGTTAAAAACCTGCTTTCAACATGGAGCTCATTGCATAGAATAATACATTTTGAATGAATATGAAGTGAAAAAGACTCTTTAAAGAGGACTATTTTCTACGTAATATACATCCTAGCAGCCTGTAAAAAGGATTTACCATTTAGTTAACAGAACCTGAAGAGGGAACATCAGAACCACCCCCGTGTGTGTGTTGAATGTGAATGTGGAGCCGATCGGCTTCGGTTACTATAAAGAATGGAACCAGAGAAAACAGTACAAATAAATCCCCCCCATCAGCTGAGTAATAAGTGTACAAGTAGGAACAGCAAGTCGTGCTTTCAGAGGGATTCTCTTCACCCTGCCAAGAAATAGTCTGCCACATTTCAATTGATTACACTAAAAGCATGCGGGGATGTAGAAAGGCTTCTGAGTAGATATATTTTTACCCTTTGCTGCTTATTAATTTTCACCATCATTGCAAAGAGAAGACTTTCATGTCCGCAATCAAAAACCACGCACAAAATATGTACCGCACAATGCCATCGTCAAATAGTCCGACTTACTTATAAAAAAAAAAAATCCATATTGAGCAACCCAGTTTGTGATTTATATTCTTCATCTATATGACCGCGTTTAAAAGTGAACTCCTACAATGACGACAACATGACATCTCCAGATTTCAAATCCCTTTCTTTGTTTTCTTTCGCATTGCAGCAGATGGAGGACGGCCGATGATGAGTAGAGCACCTGGTTGAATTACAGAGAGGTACGTCGGTGTCTCCCTCTGACTCACATGCGCACATGCATGCCTACGTGCTGTTCATGCCGCGGCTTCCTTGCCAACGCTGTTGGCCTCCACGCTGCCGGGCTGCTTGCAGGCTCACATGTCTGAGGAACATGGCGCTGCGATTGGCCCACTCAAACGCATGCAACTCGTCATCATCACACCTCAGCAGACACACAAACAAACACACACGAGCACCTGTGCCAGAGAGCGGCAGGGACAGGCGGAGTAGCCGACCTGAGAGCCTCTCCGCTGAGATCTTCCGGTTCATGTCAGCGTTTTCCCTGTTTGTTTGTCTTTAACATGGGTTTTTCCTCTAAATATTTAACCAGTTGAATGATTTGAATGATTATGTGAAATGCACATTGTGAGCTACTCAAGGAAATCTTCAAAAATCGACCACCCTGACTAGCTCAACCTGCACGGCAGACAGGTCCAGGACAGTCACGAGTTCGTGCACATGAGAATCCATCTGCTCAGGCTCGGAGCAATGCGGCACGACGGGGCTCGGAGCAGTCGGCATCCTGTGAGGAGCGACCGGCGGCCGGCGTGCACGCAACACTCACTCCCCAACTGTCCAAGCAGCGCGGCTCGGTCACTACCCCTCGGCATCCCGGAATCGACGCACAAGGTGCCCCTCTGATCGATGATGTGAACACTTAGACGTGCAGCATAATGAACAGTCCCCTGCATTTGATAAAGTGCTTACAGCCCACCTCCCCCCCTCCCTGTGCGGTGTCATAGTGCTCTCTCCCTCACCAGCTCGCTGGCTTCAGCTGTCACCGACATGGCCACGGGACGCCTTCAGGAAACACTTGATTCGACATGTGACCCTTATTGATTGGCATTCAGCACCTATAGTCATTTTAGGTCTGATGAAAAATCTCTCTTCTTGTGATCAGGACTAAAACTGAGCGACAGACATGGCCGGCTGTGGATTTGATCCCGCAAACAATTCGATCTGTTGTCATGTGTATGTCTGTATTTGTACATTTCCATCCATTGTTGTCTTGGTACGTTTATTTTTCTTTCTCAAATACATCTCGCCAATCTTTAATACACCACTTTGTTGCTACGTGTTTGTTTTTTGGTGAGCTTAAGCTGTGTTCAAATGCGCACGAGAAATACATCTCAGTAATGTGCATAAAATCGTATATATGATGAATCTTTACCTGCTTTACACCCACAGCAAATACCTCTGAGGAGTGCGATGGCGGCTCAGCGGGCTGAAGCAGACAGTCGGTACTCACGGTGCCGGAGGATGATGGGATGAATCTGGCTCACGATCCGTCTTGTGTGTCATCCACGCGTTCTCTCTCATGCACTTACTGTCACCCCTCACTGTATGCTATCACGCAAATGTGAACTAGCATTGCATATATATATATATATATATATATATATATATATATATATATATATATATATATATATATCAAAGAGCCTTCATTGTCACACATGAGGAAGCTTAGATTAGAAAATATCCAGTCCTAGAGTGAGCTGGGGTATATTTGTGTATTATCTACTGATAGTTTGTATACCTTCCCCAGTATTTTACATTAGAATGAAATTGTTGAACAACAAAAAGGTACCAGAGCGCTGTTCTGCTTGAGGGGATCCACAGAATCACAATGCACGATGCCACTGCAGTCTACTTGTGCTCTCGCTGTCTTTTTTCCCTGACACCTAATTTGAAAGAGCCATTATTCAAACAGGCTGGCCCACTGTGTATGTGTTCTATGTATGTATGTGTGTGTGTGTGTGAATCCATGGATACTTAATGGGGCATCAACTGCCTGCTGACTGCTTTAACCAAAGCTACCTCACAGTATGATGAACATCTGCAGACCCTCAAACTTCCAGCAGAGTGATTCATTAATTGTCATGTGTTTGAGTGAATTGGGATCTTTACACTCTGTGCAGATTGTGTTTTTGTGTGCGTGTAATACAGTCGTAGTGGTGCATAGTCAATCATTACTCTTTCCATGCGCTTCATTTCCTCTATATCCATATGCCACAAAATATTCAAGAGGTGGATGAAAACGGTTTCAAGCTGCACACTAAATCCGTGAGATGTTTGTGGGCATATGAATGAAAAATGTAACAAGCCAGAAATCCGCTTTAAATGAATTCAAACCCATCTTTCATGAAATGTGGATATTTTCACAGCTCAGTGTTATGTAAGCACATCCCAGTATCAGGTGTGTGCTGCCAACGCACCAACACGCACAAAGACGGCCATCTGACCGAGACCCCACGTGGAATATCATTATTTCTATTTCTAAAAGCCTGAAAAAAAATCAATGTTTTATAACACTTTTTTTTAATAATAGTTTAAATAAACAGCTATGCATTAGAATACGTTTTAGCCCTGACAAATCTGCACACTTTACAAAAAGAAATCCACAAAACAAAAGTAAGCCAACCAATATGATTTATTTTAATTTGCCGTTCATGTTATCTCCCTCCACATTAAAGGAGTTCTTAGGGGTTGGATTTACTAAATAAATTGAATTAAATAGCAAAGCTATATATAGTGTTTTTCAAAAAATCCCATTTCTTCAGATTTCATTTTAGTGTTGTGTTGTTGCCCGTGAGGCTCAGTTACATACTCAAGCGACCTCGGGCCTAAAACGTTAACGTCTGATAATCCTGTGTGCTCTGTGATTCATGATAATCGACCCATCGCTGCGCTCCGGCCACGAGCACAAACTGCCCACTAATAGCTTAGCATTAGCCGTCTCCTCTGTCCCGCTCTGCTCCACGGCCTCGCCGTCTTTTTTTCATTTTCATGCTGGATTTATGGAGTTTGAGCGCTGTCTAAACCCCCGATAGTGATAATCTCATTGTATAAGCTTTTTAAGGGTTATTAAATAACTGACCTGCTTCATAAGACAACAGGGCACATTTCTCTAAAGGCTCTGTGTTCCGTTTTTATCTTTTAACCTGTTTCCACCTCTGAGTCCGTACACGTACTTCAGACGCTTCTGTCCGCTTCTCAATTTTTTTTCCCAAATGAGATAATGTTTTTTTTTGGGGGGGGCAGTTAGCGACGTTGTTGGCTCCTTGTGTACCCCTTAGCTAATGCTAACGCACCAAGACACCCTTTAGCATCTGTATGAGCCGCAGCAG